AGGCGGGTGGGGTGGGATGGGGGTAGGGGACAGGGCTGGCAGCTTGGCAGGCACGGGGTGGGTGGGGAAGGGGGAGTGCCCTCTAGTGGGAGGGTTCTCAGGCTGACCTCTGTGACCAGTCGGGAAGTGGCCTGAGGCGCCGCGCAGGGTGTCTGTCTGGGCTGCGCCTGGGACAGATGGACACATAGTCTCCACGCGGGACTGCAGGAGAGCCTGACAAGTTCTAGCGCACTCACAGGCAAACGGCAAAACTCTTTGAAATCAGGGCTTTCTCAGAAAATCCAGGCCAGGCTGCTGCTATTCTTAGAGCCTCTTGGGCTTCTGCAGAGAGCACAGAGGGGGAGGGGATTCGGGGCTGAGACCAGGTCTGCTTCTCCCACCCACATGCTGTGTGCGGCTCCGTGAGTCCTCGACCTTTCTGGGCCTAGATTGGCATTTGTCCTGGGTCCCTTCTACCTCAGAGGCTTTATTCTGAAGAGAGAGAGAACGAGAGTGCAGGCGACCCCTGCTCTCTGCACGCAAGGCCTGGAGACATGAACTGAAGTGATCCCTGTTGGTCCAGGTTAGAGTCTGCCCTCTGAGCACTTTCTCTCTAACCCAGGGGGCGGCACATTCCGATCACGCTGTCCCTCTCGCCACCACAGCCCTCACTCTGAACCCAGGAATCAAACAGATCCACGGGAGGGCTTGGTCGACTCAAAGTCCCAACAAATCCTGGTGAATGCATTCAGTCAGGGGGTGCGTCTACCAGGTGCCTGCTGTGTGCGGGCCCCGCGGCCGGAGCTGGAAACAGTGGTGGGTGAGACCCGCGCTGTCCTGCCACATGGAGCCCCCAGCCTGGCAGGGGAGGGGACACAGGGCAACAGCTCCCCGACCCTGAGAGGACAAGTCCAGCCATTGTGCGTGTCCAGAAAGGGACACCCAGCCCAGCCTCGGGGTCAGGCTGGAGAGATGGGGTGAGGCAGAAGCAGGGCATGTGGCAGTCTCCTGAATGCTCCTTCATTTGCCTGTTCATTCATTCATGCACCCATTCATTCCACAGCATTGGGTGCCGATGGACGGCTGGTGGTCTCACGCAGCGACTACCTGGTTGGAGGACTGTCTGAGCTCAGGTGAGGCTGGGGGATCTACGGGGAGCTCCAAAGTCTCAGGGCCTCCATGTACATGCATTCATTTCTTTATCATGTAAAGTTCAGGATGTGCCCGTCAAGTTCATCTGCGTGACGATGGCAGAAATAGGAAGAGAGAATGGAAGATGGTGCCCGGAAGGCACACCCACCACGTGCGCTGAGCTCACCTACCTATGAGGGGCTGGGAGCGAGACCAAGAGGTTTGGTGGACATCTCCACCTGGGGTGGAGAGATGGGAATAAGGGAAAGAGAGATGGAAATAAGACAGTTCACATAATTTTCGCTGAGTCAGAAGAAGAGAGCAAGTGGCAGGCAGTGAATGTGTGCGTCCCTGTGACTGCCATGTGCATGCGTGTCTTTCCGTGTGACCATGTGACTGTGGGTCGGTGTCTTTGTCCCTAAGTGTGTCTCTGTGTGTGACAGCACGACGGTGCCTTAGGACGCTGCTGCCACCTGCTTCCGGGGGAGTCGGGAAGCATAGCTCTGTGAAGGGCACCCTGACAAGCAAGGGTGGGTTTGGGGGAATGCAGATTCTGGGCTCCACCCCCTGCAGCCCAGCCTGTGCCACGTGGGAACTGCCTATGGCTCCTCACTTGCTCCGTCCTTCTCCTGGGAAATTCCTGGCACAGCCAGGAAGCCACCTCCTCGTGCAGGGAGCAGATCTGGTGAGAGGGGAGGGGGCAGCGAGGTTGGCTTCCCGGTCCATCCCACAAGGCCAGGCATAAGGCGCTGGTGCCAGACCCACAGGGTGTTCTCTTTGTAGCCAGTACTGTGCAGAGCTCACTGTGAGGGTCTCACTAAAATCCTCCATTCGGAACCTAAATGCGATAAATAGCCGCTGACAGGGGAGGAGTGGTGATCACACCAAATCCAATTCAGGCTGTTTGCACATGCGGAGAGCTGGAGGCGATGGCAGTCTGAGGTCGAGGGCGCGGGAGAAGCGCCCTCCCCATGCTGACTCACACGGCGCTATATTTGGCGCCTTGATGAGGATAAATCAATGAGCTAGAAAATACAACCCCTCTTCACTTAACCAGGCAGGCGCGCGCGTTCCCAGAATGCAGAAAGCAAGCACCGAAATTTCAATTAGTGCTTTACACCCCATGGCTTTCTGGTTGTGAATCATTAGATTGGAACATGGGGCACAAACACGCCAGAAGCAGGCGACACGGAGGCCGTCCCGCAGGTGAGATCTCTCCAAGCAGAGCCTGCGGGAGGCGGGAAGAGCTCCCTGGGGTGCAGCCAAGCTAAACGCGGGTGTGGAAAGCGGGAAGGCGCCTGTGCAGGGCCCAGCCAGGCAGCTGCGGGCAGGCCCCTGGTCATTGTTCAAGCCTGGGGGACCCTGTGGGGACCCTGGGGGCACCCTGTGGCCGAGCCACATCAGAGAGCCAGGGTGATTGCCTCCCTCCCTCCCCCACAGAGAAAATTTTAGAACTTTTAGAAGCGACAGTTAAGCTTATGGTATTTTATGTGGTGACTCTGGTGGTTTTAAGGGTATATAATTATCTTAAAACTCATCAATATTTGTACATTAAATACGTACAGCTTTTTTGTACACCAATCATACCTCAATATTTTTTTTTTAAAAAAAGAAGAACACAAAATTTAAACAAGACAAAGAAAACGGTGGCTTCTTTCTTTTAAAAACAAGCAAACACATAAAAAACTACATACTAAATCTAGTTTATCTCAATCCCTTCCCATCAATATTTTAGTTATTTTTTTCTCTTGTTCCTCTCCCTCCACCCCCGGGAATGATGTAGGGTTGAATATCAACTTCCTTGCTTTGGATGGCTAATACCGCAGCCCCGGCTTCATTCCTTAGGGTGCCTTGGTCCTCTCCTCTTCCAGACTCATTAGCACATCTGTAGTGCGCCTCTTAGGGGCTGCCTGTGATGGCGATGGTGGCGGCTCTGAGAAGCAAAATCAGAAGCTCAAAATGGGGAACCCAGTCCATGAGCAATTTAAAAAAATATTTGGAAATAATTTCTGTTAGGGTCGCCGAAGGAGGAACACACAAAAGGGGTAAAGAATTATACATTTACTAGAGGCCCGGTGCACGTGCAAGGGTAGGGTCCCTAGGCCTGGCCGGCAACCAGGGCCCATCAGGTTCCCTGCCTCCCCACCTTCTCCTTCCCACTATATTCCACGCTGCCCCCTGGTGGTCAGTGCACGTCATAGCGAGCAATTGAACTACCCGTCTCCCGGTCAAACTGCAGAGGGGACACTTTGCATATTACCCTTTTATACATATAGATTAGGTCATCTGGAAACCAGATGGGCTGAGCCCCCAAATGGCACCAGCACCCAGGGATGGGGAGGGGAGTCAGAGATTTTAAAGGATTCAAGATGGGCTTTTTCAATGGGGAATTCGCTGGGTGGTCTGGATCCTGGGCAAGTCCGAAGGGGAAAGTTAATGGTCTTAGAAAATGGAATGTGGTCTAAGCAAAAGGGAATGTCAATTGCGAAATGATCGAAAGGTCCGTTTCCCAGGGAGGGGATATCGATTCGATTATGTGATCAGACCTAACAATTTTAAAATTATAAAGTTGCAATAGAAAAGAATTACTTCTATACCCTAGATTTGAATTCACCTATTTTTAACATTTTATTCTCATTTGCTGTCTCTCTAGATGTAGTACCATACATATTTTCATTTTTACTAAACATTTATTTGAGAATAAATTACATGCGCCCTGGCCTCTTATACCTAAAATATTTCAGAGTGCATTTCTAGGGAAAGAAATATTGTCTTTTATGCAGACAGTATTATTAACTTCAGAAAATTGATTATTAATACAGAACTTAAATCTAATTTACTGCCTATACTTCAATTTTGTCAATTTATGTCTTTTTTATAGCGTTGCTTTTCTTGCAGTAGAAGATTGATCGCATACTGTACTGTCATACCATAGTTCTTTGTCTCCTTTCATCTGTAAAAGTTTGTGTCTTTTTAAAAAAAAAAATCTATTATTGAAACTGGAGAACCAATGGGTCCGGGCTGCCTGTCACTACTTGAGCCAATGAAGCAGAGACAGGGTTGAATTATATAGGAGCATTTATTCTAATAATGCCGGCAGCATGGGAGAGCTGCAGGTCATCCAGGAATCTGCTCTGCCTCCTCCCCCATAATCCAGCTGCTTATACGGGGCACAAGGACAAAGATTACATGGGGAACTGGGCAAAGGGAATAAGAATGGATATACTAGCAATGGTTACAGGTTGCAGGCAAAGCGGGCCATGTGGGCTGGGGGGTTTGCAAAGGGCAGGGGGCATCCGGGACTCCATTTCTTTCCTCAACAAGGTTGTTCATCTTTCCGTGATAATGGGCAGCTCCCGGATGGGGAGGGTGGACAGCATTTCCAGGTGAGCTCCCAGGTCCCGAGTGCAACTCCCAGCCAGGTTAGAATGTACTTTCTTTAATCAGATCAAAACAATCATGGTTAACAGAGCATGATGAATATTCCTTATAATTATGGCTGGTCCCCAATGTTATATTCCTGCCCCTAACATTATGACTTTGACATTTTCAAAGGATACGGTTGATCTGCCATTTTTTTATAATTGCTTCTACCACCTGGAAATTCTCATTCTGTTACTGTAGTTACCTAGATATTAATAAGAAGAACGCAAAAGGAAGTGGACATTGTTGGGCCTCATGGGCTGGGACACTGAGCCTGTTTGCTTCGCCTGGAAGTCAGCTTCACACCCCTCCCTTCTCTGGTGTAGGGAGCAGCCTGCCCTCGCCTATAGGATTTGGGGGGCGGTGGGGGGGGGGCAGGGAGAGGTAAGCATATGCAGAATAAAGTGAAAATGGTGCAGGGAGAGGTGCTTGACCAGAGAGACCTGTCAGTCTGACCTGGGAACAAGATCATTGGTCAGGGGGTGGACCCTTCAGAAGCCCAGGAAAGCTTGGGAGGTTTGTTGGCTATTTTGAAAAAGCTCCTGGTTAAAACTCCAGGGAAACAAAGAGCCCCTCCCTCTCTCTCCCTCTCTTTCTCTGACCCACACTCTCCTGGTTCCTTCATGTTCTCTCCCACCAGGGAACACTTGACCAGGCAGGTCTAGTGCCCACCTGGGGCCCGCGGCAGACCACGAGGGCTCCAAAGAACTAAGTTTTAATACGAAGCAGAAACTCTGAACACTGTCCTCTGTCTTGGCCTTGGTGAAGACAAGGCTGGACTTTTTCCATGGCGGAGGGAGGGAGATGGGACATGGAGAAACCAGGAGGGGAACTCATTTGATTTTGCATCACGAATAAACCTTGCCACACCACAGTCTCAGGTGTGTGGGTCCTTGAAACGCAGATCACATAACCTCTCTGGGCCTCCTTTTCTTGTTTCTAAAATGAAAATAATATGCCCCGCCGGCGTGGCTCAGTGGTTGAGCTCTAACCTATGAACCAGGAGGTCATGGTTTGATTCCTGGTCAGGGCACATGCCCAGGTTGCGGGCTCGATCCCCAGTGGGGGGCGTGGAAGAGACAGCCAATCAATGATTCTCTCTCATCATTGATGTTTCTATCTCCCTCTGCCTCTCCCTTCCTCTCTGAAATCAATGAAAATATTTTTTTTTTAAAAAGATTGGAGTCTTTCCTCCTGCCCCAATCCCTGATAACCAGTGATCTTTTTACTGTCTCTCTATTTTTACCTTTTTCTGATTGTCAAGTAGTTAGAATCATTTCAGATTGGCTTCTGTAAAAGTAATATGCATTTGAAGTGTCTTCCGTATTTGTCATGGCTTGATGGCTCATATCTTTTTAGCGCTGAATAACAGTCCATTTTGCAATGAACTGCCGTGTATTTGTCCACTCCCCTACTGAAGGGCATCCTGGTTGCTTCCACTTTTCGGCAATCGTGAAAAAGCTGCTATAAGCATTCGTGTGTAGTATTCTGTGTGGTCGTCCTTCTGTGATGACCCAATTCTCTCTAAGTGGTCTATCAACAGAAGAAAAAAAAAAAGATCATTTCTAACTTAATTTTAAAATAGAATTGACCTATTAATTCATAACTACTCATTACTGCTTCAGGGTTATTGATTCAAATTGTGTCGGAGCCTCATTCGCTGGTCCATTCAGCCAATATTTACAAAGCTTCTCACCAGGCACTGAACGTGGAGGTAGGGGAGGAGAGAGACAAGCTCCCACCTCTAAGACTAGCAGGGAAACAAAGGAATACAGAATACGGCTGTCCTAAAGGACTGTGTGTAGGATGCGGAGGCCTGTCCTACGTGGTGAGGATGCTTTAGGGCAGTGGTTCTCAACCTTCCTAATGCCACGACCCTTTAATACAGTTCCTCATGTTGTGGTGACCCCCAACCATAAAATTATTTTCGTTGCTACTTCATAACTGTAATGTTGCTACTGTTATGAATCGTCATGTAAATATCTGATATGCAGGATGTATTTTCATTGTTACAAATTGAACATAATTAAAGCATAGTGATTAATCACAAAAACAATATGTAATTATATATGTGTTTTCCGATGTTCTTAGGCGACCCCTGTGAAAGGGTCGTTCGACCCCCAAAGGGGTCGCGACCCACAGGTTGAGAACCGCTGCTTTAGGGAAAGGTTTATAGAGGAAGCAAGGCAGAAGGTCATGTCTACCTTGAGCCTCCCTTCATGGCTCCCCCAACCCCCTCCAGTTAGGGCTTGCTCCTCCCTCCTGAACTATTTTGCACATTCATGCATATGTGTGGTAAAAGCTGAAGAGCGAAGGCTGAGTTCACACAAGAGCAGAGTGAAGGAAGAGAAATTCATGCATCCATGGGAATTTTGCAGGTAGAATCAACAGGAGTTCGTGACCAAGAGGATGTAGTAACCAAATGGAGAGAAAAGAAGGCTAACTTCTAGAGCAAGCCTGGGACGCGGAGGCGCACCTGTGTGTAGACATGCAACTACATGCGTGTACATGGAGCTTTGGCTTGATGTCTTCCGTCTCTGCCTTGAGGAGAATTGGATGTGACTGTGGCCATGAATGCTGACCAGGTGATGCGAAGCTGATTCCTGGAGGCTGACGGGATTCCCCCTGGCTCATTGGTCAGGTGAGCATTTCCCATCTATTGGGGGTACGATGGGTTGCTTGTGAGACTGTTACCACTCAACATGACCTATCCTATTCTTCACTCGGGCTTCCCTGAGCAGCCCTTTGCCATTGCCTCAGTCGCTGGGAAAAAGTGACAGCAAGCCGGGCGGGTTGTACCTGCCCTGGAAATCCAGAGGAGTCGCTCCCCCTTTTTTTCCTGCTTCACTCAGAACCGAATCCTCTGATTGAGCTGAGTGGCAGGGCTCAGTCCCTATTCCCAGCTCCATCTAGTGTCACTGATTTGTGATTTCTCTCTACAAATGGGCTGATTGCTTAAATTGAATCTTCATGCTCAGGCATTTAGAGGAAGCTTCAGATGCAAAATTGTTTACAAATGTCTGGAGTCTGAACCCTGAATGTAAGAAGTATATTTGCATAAGTTTACGAGGGTTAAAAGGCACCTTTTGTCTTGGTGCAGATGAGCCCTGCGGGAGGGTCCCAGCAGTGAGCACTAATCCCAAAACCACAGACCGTGGCATCTTATTCTGAGAACTGGTTCACATATGGTCTGAGATGGAGATTTCTCCTTCCTCTAGGGCAGCGGTTCTCAACCCGTGGGTCGCGACCCCTTTGGGGGTCGAACGACCCTTTCACAGGGGTCGCCTAAGACCATCGGAAAACACATATATAATTACATATTGTTTTTGTGATTAATCACTATGCTTTAATTATGTTCCATTTGTAACAATGAAAATACATCCTGCATATCAGATATTCACATGACGATTCATAACAGTAGCAACATTACAGTTATGAAGTAGCAACGAAAATAATTTTATGGTTGGGGGTCACCACAACATGAGGAACTGTATTAAAGGGTCACGGCATTAGGAAGGTTGAGAACCACTGCTCTAGGGGGAGCCTAGGACTGCCAGGACCCCCCAAGCAGCCAGGAGCCACCCCATCAACCCTGCCGGACTCCATGGATGCCTACCCGAAGAGGACAGGCACAGGCCACCATCCCTCCTACCCAGCACACAGCTCTCCGCACACACCTGCCCGCTTGCAGTCTTTCCTAAAGAGGCCATCGTTTGCCTTTCCTGTTGTCCCGTCAGGAGCTCAGGCTGTGGGGTGCCCTCTCTGCCTGTCCTTCCTGTTCCCCAGTGTCACTAGGTGGGATGCCTTCTTGGTCCAGAGTCACCAACCCCCACAGAAGGTTAGAGAACCTGGGTTTGGGGATGAACCTGGGTTTGGGGATGAGACCAACTGGGGCTCCAATTCTAGCTTCATCACGTACCAGCTGTGTGCCCTGGGCAAGTCATGAAGTCAGTCCCTCTGCTCATCGACCTGGTCCCCCATAAAATGAGGATGTACGCGAATGAAAACCGCTCTGTGCAGCCTTTGGCAAAGTGCCTGGCACAAGCAACCACCAATACTAGGTGTACCGGTTAAAAATTCGGATACCGGCTAAAAATGCAGATTAGCTATTAACCAGTTAAAAATGCAGATTTTGTAATCAGGGAAAACACGATAATTTCAAGAGAAACATCGAAAGTGCTTCATTCAAAGTCATGTCCATCGCTAACACTTTTCTTCAAAATAATGAATTATAACTTCCCGCAAATGCTTTTTTTTTGGCACAAAATTCGACATTTTTAAGGGTAAACATACCTATGATGTTAACACCGTTAGAAAATTTGACATATGAAGTTTTGAAGCTTGTTGTCAATGCAACAAAATAGCATACATATCAAATCGCATATACATCAACATATGTGTAACTCCATCTATCGAAAAAAACCTGCATCACTCACAGGTACACCTAGTATATAATCACCACTATTATTATGGTACTGTTATCATTGTCATTATTATTATAATTACCCAGATTTTGTGACTATCTAAAAGCCCTCATTTAGATGCAACACTGAAAAACAAACAAACAAAAAAACACCCAGACACAGTGTAAAAAGAACACAGTGCCATCTATGACTCTGCAAAACAACAAGAAGCTAGAATCTTCTCTAGTGAAGCATCCAGGTTACATTTAAGTTAAACATCACCCTGAGCTAAATATAGAACGTGGGAAATTCTACAGAAACAGGTGACCCAGATTCCTCCGCCAGATAACCGGGATGGGAAAGGGGATGCGGGGAAATGGGACAGATTTAAAGGGACCCCTGCAGTGCGGAAACCTTGTGTGCAGCCTGATTGAAGCAGCAACTGCAAGGACTCTTGTTTGTTGTTGGAGGAAACCAAGGGCATGACCATGAGCGAGTACTCGTTGATATTGCAATGGTGTTAGAAATTTAGCTAGATGTAATTGTAGAATTGCAGTTATGGCCTAAACATGTCCAGTTTGTATACATAAACGCTGAAGTCCCCTCAGGTACAATTACTGCAATGCTGGGATTTACTTTAATATCTCCTGGAGGAAATGAGGTGGGCATGGGAGAGGCGCACATAAGGGTTAAATTGACCGCTTTGACTGCTCTTTCTACTTTCATGCATATGTGAACGTGCCTAGCTATACTAATAAAAGGGTAATATGCTAATTAGACCAGACATCCTTCCAGACAAAGCCACTGTGGCAGAGGCAGTTAGGGGGTGATCAGGCTGGCAGGCAGAGTGGTTAGGGGTGATCAGGCAGGCAGGCAGGTGAGTGGTTAGGAGCCAGCAGTCCTGGATTGCAAGAGGAATGTCTGACTGCAAGGGGTCCCGGATAGGAGAGGGTGCAGGCCGAGCTGAGGGATTCCCTTCTCCCGTGCATGAATTTCGTGTACCAGGCCTCTAGTAATGAAATAAGTATAAAAGTCCACATAAGCTCCCACTGGCTTGATTTTACCAGTGCCCCCTGGTGGTAGCCCAGTGCATACACTCTGGGGAGGGGACCCTGGTCCAACCCAGGAATCAGAGGGAACTGGCTCCTGCACCTTCACAACGCCCGCCTCCCCCCCACCCCCCGCAACCCCACAATATCTGCCACCTGCCCTTCGGGCCTCTGCCCTCTGTCCTGGTCCTGGACTGTCTCAGCACCTGCTAGACACTCTTGCTCTGACCAGCGACCTAACTTCTCTGAGCCCCAGAGTCTCGTTTCAAAACTGGGAATGGTGATAGCTACCTCCCGGCTTGAAGCCCTCAAAACACGTGACTCTTTCCTCCTCTTCCTGTCTTTGGTTCCTCTTGGTTTAGCTGAACTCTGCAGGCTGGGGAGAGCCAAGCTTCGTGAGCCTGTATCGAGGCTGCTGATGATACAAATGAGGCCGGCTGGCAGGCTTTGGTGCACGGAACTCAGCTCAGAGCCAAGCCTCCTCCTCCTCCTCTTCCTCCCCCTGAGCATCTCTGCGAATCATAGCTTCCAGCTATTAAACTAAAAATGCATCTTTCACTGTCAAGAAGCCATGCCACAGACATCCAAGAGTCCTTAGCTATGCAAGTTTGCTATCTTGGCCTAGAAATGGGGCAGCTGAGCCAACTTAATATCTTCCTTCAAGAATCTGCCGGCGCTGATGCCAAGAATGTTCACCAGCTGTCTCTGGCTCTGATGAGCGATGAACCAGAGGAGCCCAGAGGAGCCACATTTGACCTGTTGTGAATTCAGCTTCTACCACCGGCGTGGGGCCCGAAGACAGGCCCCAGGCAAGGGGCTGGGCCATGTTCAGCCCTCATCTCAGCAGAAGGGCTTCCGATGGAGGACCAGCCGGCAGAGGGCCCGGGCCCGGGCCTGCAGCACCCAGCCTTACAGGCAACGGTGAGTATTTTGATTTATATTTAAAGGAATAGAGAAATTCTGGAGAGTGATGGAATCTACTTTTCATCTATAAAATGGCCAGAGCTAAACTCCTGTCTTTTCTTAGCTACACTTAGGTCATCACCGCATTAACAGAAATAGCAAAGCTTTAGGATCAAGTGGCTTTCGTCATGAGCTTGGGCCTGGGAGACTGTTAAGCCCCAGAGCCCAGCAGGGGCAGTGGGACAGGCCGTTCTGCAGCCACTCCCTGCGGGAGGAGCGCCCACCGGACACGCGGCCTGGACAGGCAGGCTTCCCCGGTCACTCCAGCACGTGATGGCTCAGCAGGTCTATTCGTGGCTCAGTGACCTCCTTCTCCTCTACCCCAGGGTCTGCAGCGTCCTTTAGTTAATGTTGCCCAGTGGGCAGGTCCAGTTACTCCACCAGCGCCTGAAGCAGGACAGCTGGGGACCCCTCTCCTTCCCGCTGCTCCCCTCCCCTTTCCCAGACAGACCCTGGTTCCAGACCTGCCTGGGCAGCCGGGCCTCAGCCTGGAAGGATTGGCCCTCACCTCCAGGTGGCCACAGACCTTGTCCTTGGGATCTCAGGCTACTAGTAGCTTCCTCCTCTGTAGCCTGTGCCCCCAGCCTCTTGTTGTGTCCTGCGGGGATTAGGGATGGCCGGTCACTCACCCCCCAGGTCATCCATCACCTGCCTCCTACTTGTCGTCACCAGCCAGGGTTTGTTTCCATAACCTGGGTTCATGGGACTGAGGGGTTCATCGGACTGAGGGGCCCCTCCAACCCTCCACACCCAGAGGCCTTCGCTCTGAACTGTCTGGAGCCGCTGGCGGTGGGTGTGGAAGAAGTGCCTCCTGTTGTAACTTCATCACCAATTAAGTGAACCTCTGGCATCCTCAGAGGAAAAATTACTACAAGCTCTGAATACATGTTTGAAAGATCAGCATGATCATTATAGAGCATTACTCAGTTTGTTAAGTGTGCTTTAAAAAACCCACCATGGAATATATCTTCATTGTAAGGGCATCTGTTGTTTCTTACAAATGATTAGCTGTCACTGAATCACCAATTTAACTTTGTTGTGTGGTTAAGACTAATTTTTTTTCACTGTCGAATATATATATACTATATATTTATTTTTTTCCCCAGAGAGGAAGGGAGCGGGGGAGGGAAGAGAGAGAGAGAGAGAGAGAGAGAAACAAACCAGCTTATTTTAAAGCATGGGCTTGATGATCAGAAAGTTCTGGATTCACATTCTGAGAGCTGTGTGACTGTGTGGTGGGTAAGAGCGTGACCCAATACTGGGCTTAACGCCTAGGTCTACCTGTGTTACGTGTGGAAAGTTACTTATGTTTTCTGTGCCTCAGTTTCTTGTCTGTGAAAGTGGGGGTGATAATACTACCTACCCCACAGGGTTGTTGTGATACCGAAGGACACGTGTGAAGGGCTTAGAGGAGGTCCTGAACAATAGTAACTCTCATTATTATTATTATTATTGTCATTGTGATGATGATTGATGATGATGATGGAGATGATATGATGACAACCTTGGACAATGACCTTCTCTTAACTTCTCTTTCTTTGTCTCTAAAGTAATGATAAACTTAGCTTCCATGGTGGACACTGTGATACACCACCCAGGTGTCCCTTTGATGAAAAATCGCTTCCTCAACTATTTTGGCAACAGCTTTTAGAGGTTAGTCCCTTCAGGGATCTTGTCAGCTGCATTGGAGAGAAGTGGTCCTACCAGAGTCATGTCTTGTCTCAGTCCACATTCATGACCGATGGGTATGGGCCTGTACGACCTTTTCATCTGGGCCCAACTTGGGATAAGTCTGAAGGACTATCATGCCTCCATTCCAGTTGAATTTTGGAGGCCTCTATACCAGTTCAAATTCTCCCTCTGTCCATTCTTTCTTCATTTTCCTTTTTTCCCCCCCACAGGTCTTGATCCCAAAGACACTTCTTAAAAGCATTTTACTTTCCAAATTTTATCTCCTAGCCAGCTGTCTTAGGAACCCAACCTGTGACACCCAACTCCCCAGAATTGTTGGCAGGATTAAAAAGCATAACATATCCAGTATTCAGCACCATGGCTGGACAATACCCCCACTTACAACATCACAAACTAAACCTTTTGGGGGGCCTTTCTCTCCATTGTATTCTATGCCTTCTCCCTGAAACATGGCACCGATGACCAACTCAAATGAAAAATGATTTATCAGGTCAACCTAAACTCATTGTGTTTTCGTTCAGGGTAGAGTTTGACAGTTAGCCCCAGATGACATGAGGGACTCAGGTCCAGCTGGTTTAACGAAATCAGCTTAATTCCTCCCCCAAATACAAAGTTTCAGGTTCGGGGGAAGATCATGTGCCTCCAGGAAATGCCTGTTCATTGATAGAGTTCTTGCTTTGTTACTCTACATTTTCTCACACACACACCCCGCCCCCCCCCAAGTTCATTCATAATTCTAGTTGTTGCTTTTTCAGGAACCATGCATAATAACATGAGACAAGGCACTGACTTACATAGGGACTATCAAGGCTATTTGCAAAGCAACGAAATACACATTGTTGGACAGGTACAGCAGCGTTACCTATGCTGACCATGAAGGTCATTTTCTGTGTGTTGCTTGGGGAAATCTCAGTCAATGAATCTTGCTCTTAACTTCACACTTGATTTTCTTTGTGGCGAAAAGCCAGGGGCATGTGGGCACTTATAAACAATAAAAATAAATGATATTGGAAAGAGGCGAAGCCATCAACATCATTTAAAGTCTCCTCATCACGGGCTGACAAGTGATCACTGGACTTGCACTAGAGAAGGGAACGCTTGAAAAAGAGACCAAAGGGTGGATGGGTGAGAAATTCATCAGCATGAGCATCAGACAGACGCCCTGACCTTTGCTTGAGTGATGATTCTTTCGATCAGGTCAAGCCCCTGGGAATTACAAAGCCCATGCTCCCCTGTAGGGCTCATATTTTATTTACCATCTGCCAGAGTACTGGGAGTTTTATGGATTAAATAATCTCCCATTTACAGGTAAATACTCTTGGGGGAAATCCTATATAATAAAAACCTAATATGCAAATTGACCAAATGGTGGAATGACCAGTCGCTATGACATGCACTGACCACCAGCGGGTAGACACTCAACACAGAAGCTGCCCCCTGGTGGTCAGTCCGCTCCCACAGGGGGAGCCCCGCTCAGCCAGAAGCCAGGCTCATGGCTGGTGAGCGCAGCGGCAGTGGCGGGAGCCTCTCCTGCCCCCGCCGCGAGGGGTCCCTGACTGCAAGAGGGAGCAGGCCGGGCTGAGGGACCCTGTTCCCCATGCACAACATTTCGTGCACTGAGCCTCTAGTAAAATTATAATAATATTTATCTTAAACCTAAAATGAACCCACAGGAATTTACAGGAAATAAGACAAAACATTGCCATCTCGCTGACAGCAAGTTTATTCTCGATTGAGATACAAAGCGTAACTAAGCCAGGGCTATTGAATAATTTACAAGAAGTAAATTATGGATTTAATTGTGCCCTCCAGAGTAAGATATGAGTAAGTTCTGAATCCCAACAACACATAATATGACCTTATTTGGAAATAGAGTCTTTTCAAATTTCAACAAATTCAGACGAAGTCAGACTGTGAGACAATAATCTTTTGTTGTTTGAAGCAAACTATTTGTGGTCCTTGGTTACAGCAGCTCTAGAAAACGAATACAGTAGGTTTTAGAAAAATTTGCGGGTAGGTTCTAAAGGCATTGTTGTTTTGCTTCAGATTTAGGGAATCTGTGTGTCAGTCATTTTCCCATTCAGCTTGAGCTCTATTACAAACCTTGTGTTGAGATCGGTACAGAAACGAAAATGGCACTGAATTTTGTGTTAAGGATGGTAGAAAGGTCTCATGAGAGAAGGGGAAGGAGGAAGAGCAGAGAGGAGGAAGGAATAGCAGAGACTGTGGTAACTGAGGTGGAACAAGGGGCAGTAGTGGAGCCCTCGCTGGTTTGGCTCGGTGGATAGAGCATCAGCCTGCAGACCGAAGAGTCCCAGGTTCGACTCTGGTCAAGGGCACATACCTCGGTTGCAGGCTCCTCCTCAGCCCTGGCCCTGGTCAGGGCGCATGCAGGAGGCAACCAGTCAATGTGTTTTTCTCACATTGATATTTCTCTCTGTCTTTCCCTCTCTCTGCCACTCTCTCTAAAAATCAATGGGAAAATATCCTCGAGTGAGGATTAAAAAAATATATATTTTTTTTAAATTTAAGAGGCATCCATCTTTCCACCTAGAAATCCTACTCCTGGGGCTCCGTTGTATAGCAATATAAGCATCCATATGTGAGCAGGTAATAGCATAAGTTGTCTTAGTGTGTTCCCTATTCCCCACATGGGACTTCTGCTTCACTAGTCCGCAAGGGTCAAGGGTCAAACCGTTAGACAACTCCATGGCGGCTGGCAGTCCTAACCGCACGCTGGCCCCTGATACAGGAGTGGGGCAGGGCGAGCACTCACTCTCACAGCCACCAGAAGTGCTGACTGCGAAGGCGTGCAGTTCCCAAGACATGAAGGACCGTCCAGGAGCAGCGTGCATTCCATGACCAACTCTCTTGCTCCATTCAGGATGACTCCCAAGGACCACCCCAGACCCAGAGCGCTTGGCGTTAGCTGTTGGCTAACATTCCTTGGGTTGCAACTGCATCTCATTTCAACTTCTGCTCAAGTCTGATTCCCTGAAGCACTTAACAGGTGTGGCTCCTGGGGGTACTCCTAATCCACTCCCCAGGCACGAATCTCCACCTTAGCATCTCCTTCCCAGGGAATCCAAATGAAGACGAGGGTCATTGCTTATGTATCATTTATGTGCCAGGAGCTCTTTTTAAGACGTCTTTACTTCTCTAAATTGATTTAATTCTTACAAAATTCTTATGTAGTAGGAAGCATTATCATCTGTAAGACCACAAAGCTTCTTAGTGGTAGAATCGGGATTTAAAACCAGGATCCGGAGGCCATTTCATTAATGTCTCCTTTGTAAGATTAAATATATTGAGCATTATTTCAAAAAATTAAAAAGCTATATGCCCAACCATCGTGGCTCAGTGGTTGAGTGTCGACCTATGAACCAGGAGGTCATAGTCGATTCCAAGTCAGGGCACATGTCCGGGTTGTGGGTTCGATCCCTAGTAGGGCGCATGCAGGAGGCAGCCGATCAATGTTTCTCTCTCATCATTGATGTTTCTATCTCTCTCTCCCTCTCCCTTCCTCTCTTAAATTAATAAATATATATTTTTATAAAGATATATAAAATGTAATAAGATGTGTACAGAGGTCTGCAAGACAACATAGTATGTTTGAGACAATGAAAGAAATCCAGCAATTCCAGGTTCTGCAATGAGGTTGAAGAAATAGGCAGACAGGTTTTGGAGGTGACTTTCATCTTAGTTCAGGAAAAAGCTTTTATTTATTTATTTTTATTTAAGTACAAGTGCTCTGACTCTGAGCTTAGGGTATACATGGCTGCCTTTACTTTAAGGAATCAAAAATGTTTACTCTGCCTAGATACAAAGGCAATCCTGACAAATAATTATCTGCACTTTATAAGTAAATGATATTGGCGTGCAATATTGGTTTGGCGTATCAGTCCATTTCTTTCCATTTCAAGACACTGGTCTAGTTCCTAGATGCCCGCCTGATTAAACTGCTTTAGGCTACCCAAATGAGGAACCACATTTCTCCAAAACATCCTAAATTTTGAATGGTGATTCCCCCTTTTTTTTTTTTTATTTAATGCTACTAGTTGACACTTGTGTCAAAGATCTTTAATTCTTACTGCCATTCACTAATCCCCACCAATAATATCAACTAACCCTGGAACCTATCATTCTAACTCTAAAATGAGACCTCCTGTCCTAGCTGGTTTGGCTCAGTGGATAGAGCGTTGGTCTGCAGACTGAAGGGTCCTGGGTTCGATTCCGGTCAAGGGCACATGCCTGGGTTGCGGGCTCAGTCCCTAGTAGGGGGTGTGCAGGAGGCAGCCAATCAATGATTCCCTCTCATCATTGATGTTTCTATCTCTCCCTCCCACTCTCCCTTCTTCTCTGAAATCCATAAAAAATATATATTATTAAAAAATAAAATAAAACAAAATTAGACCTCCTCAGTCATGCATGTTTCACTTATTTCCAGGCCTTTAGTGATCCGTGTACCTGATAATTATCTCTGCGTGTGGTATCATATCTCCCTGTATCGCTGAGAGCTTCCTCAGAACTCCTGGGCCCCTTGGTTCCTTCCACTGAACCAGGCCCCAGGGTCTAGGGTCAAACCAACCGATGATTCCATGACAGTTAGCATCCCTGACAGCAGTTTGGCCCCAATATAGGAGTGGTCCCATAGGCTCTTTCAGCTTCTGCCACTGCCAATGCCTCAGCGATCACTAAACGTCTAGATTTTTCTCTTCTTCCTATGACGACGAATCAAATCAGAAGAAACGAGTGTGAGCTACTGGTGGTGGTCTCCGCTCGAACTCTTTGCTTGCCACCATGCACCTCTCAATTAGAGCTATCCAGGCCATCAACATGTTCACCTCTTCTTGGGCCTTAGTCTTCTTGGCAGTAGGGATTTTGGTCAATGACTGGGTTAGAATAAATATTGAGACCAGAGCAACTGTAAAAAGCCACAGCCCATGGATACACAGTACTATTTGGCCCAAAGGTAAGAACGAGACCCTAGGAAGATGGGTGGAGAGGGAGGGCTCACCTTTCCTTGACTTCCACTTACCTTACCAGCTTACTCGTTATTCTCTGGTGCAATGTCCTCTGGCTGCAGCGGGCCCACTTTCATAATCCATATAGTCAAGGCAGAGTTCAAAAACCTCGCCATGTCTAATGTTTTGGAGATGTTTTGAAGTTCACAGACTTGCTGGCTGGACAGTAGAGAAGTCTTGGCAGGAGCAGCAGGGTGACCCAGCACAGCAAGAACAGAAGGGTATAAAAGAAAGGCAATGGGCAACCAGGCAAGTCGGTTATGTGGACAGCCGAGGTGAACAGGAGAAATTCGAGTATTTCCTAAGAAATGCGTTCTGCAAAAGGGAAGGAGGAGAAAAGAAACTTAACAGAGATACCAAGATAGATACGGTTTCTGTGGGTCCTCTCTCCCATTCAGCTTATGGCTTCCTGCTTCTTCGTCACCCCCACTTCTGTCTGTATGATGTAATCAAATCTCTCAATCGCCCGACCCCCACCCCATTTCCATTTTGACTTAGAGATGTGTGGCCCCTGGGTGGAAATGAGCCTAGAAGAAACATCTGTCCTTCTCTCAAGAGAGCGTCTGCTTTCCAACAGGTGAGATGGAAGTGGTCAGAGTCATGCTGATTATAGTCCTCAGCCTTTCCTACTTTTATAACTTCTTCCTGGGATTGGAATTCACCTATATGATTCCTCAAACTACGTGCGTTTTCCTCATGGCTGTCTTCCTCACTTTCTTCACCGGTAAGACTCCCCGGCTCCCCTCCCTGGCACTGTACTTGGTCTGTGAGCCCAGCCTGTCGTTTCTGACTATTGCGGCCTTCCCAGATTTTTTTGGCTCCGATATGCAGCTTCTGAATGGAACCATCCACGGACGTGGATGAGGTGCATATATGCAGGGTAGAGGCTTAGAAATTAGGCTCCTCTGGGGGTTAAGATGGGTAGAGGCATTGCGGTTCCTCAAAAGGGGCTTTTATTTTCTCCTTTTGTTTGGCTACTAGGTGTCCTTCTGCTCTCCGCACTCCTACTGTATCACATAAAGCTAAGACAAGGCAAATCCGTGTACTACTCTAATTATCATCTCACCTGGAACATTTCCACGGCCTACATTAGCATTTTCTTCCATTTTGCCTCTGGTGAGTGTTTTAAGGGCCTTTGATGGGGAACGAGAACCAATCTACCCTGGATGGGAGGGAGAGTGAAAGGATGGGGAAAGGGAATAAGGAAAAAGGACCGATCCTTGCATTTTAAGGGGGTAAAGTTCAAGTGGACTCGCTCTCCGATGACAATTCCTCTAGAGATAGAGCTGGAGATCAGGACTGGGTGACATGGTCAACGTGCTGGCCTAAGAGGGCAGCTCCTTACCTCCACCTTTGCTACCGTCTTTCATATCCTCCCCATCTCAGGGAAGACTAAAGAGCGTGCATAACATGGACTGTTCACGTAGGTGGGTGGGCAGTGTCATGCCAGGGCAGTTTTAGATCAGAGAAAAGCAATCCCTAATACTAAATGTTCAGCCACCAACATTGGAGACCCTTGCTTCTAAAGGTGGTTTTTGTCTTGTTGTGTTTTTTTTGTTAATCCTCAACCGAGGATATTTTTCCATTGATTGATTGATTGATTTTTTTTTTTTTTTTTTTGATTTTTAGAGAGAGCGGAAGAGGGAGGGAAAGACAGAGAGAGACATTGATGTGAGAGAAATACATCGATGGGGTGCCTCTTGCACAAGCCCTGACCAGGGCTCCGGCCGGGAGGAGTCTGCAACCAGGGTACATGTCCTTGACCGGAATGGAACCTGGGACCCTTTGGTCCGCAGGCTGACCTCTATCCACTGAGCCAAACCGACGAATGGCTCTAGAAGAGTTTTAAAATTTCATTTAGAAATTCCTAACTCAGAGGCATGTCCCTTTTCAAAAAGAATCCTCAATCTTGTTTCGTTGGGAAGTGTCTAAACCAGGGGTGGGCAAACTTTTTGACTCGAGGGCCACAATGGGTTCTTAAACTGGACCGGAGGGCCGGAACAAAAGCATGGATGGAGTGTTTGTGTGAACTAATATAAATTCAAAGTAAACATCATTACATAAAAGGGTACGGTCTTTTTTTTTTTTTTTTTTTAGTTTTATTCATTTCAAATGGGCCGGATCCGGCCCTCGGGCCGTAGTTTGCCCACGGCTGGGCTAAACTCTCCTGCATCCAGTTTAGCCCGTCCTACCGAAGCATTTGGACCTCCTTCCAAATTTCTTGGGGCGGTTCAAAAGAGACCCCCTGGGCTTTGGGTCAGCGTCTCTCTGTCAACGCAGAGGGAAATATTTCTTGACTATTTCATGAAACATCTACTGTTCCTCTATCGCCCTCCCCCGGCTTCTCTCTTCCCCAGGACTCTTCTCTCTCCTAGAGTACCAGCGGGTCGTGAAGAATAGTGCCTCTGAACCCACCATGGAAAACTTTGGCCAAGACAGTGACATGAGACAGCAGTCTGGGAGTTCTATCCAAGTGATTTCATTACCAGAGCGCAGCTCCGTTCTACCCAGCATCGTCCAGGTGCACTCTGATCCATCCAAGGAAGATAGGCTCCCGAAGCCCTCACAAATGCAAAAACGCCGGGTAACCTGGGCTATGTGACTTGATCGTCCATCACTCCTACGTGCTCATCTCAATGAAAACCTTTTCCTGTGCCTGTTTCTGGGTGGATGTTCAACCGTGTTGTCTGTAAATGACTGTGACCTGGTTGACATCTGTCAGAAAATCCAGAATACGGCTTTAAAAAAAAAGTCCCTTCCCTGCTGAACTACTTCTTTCTATTTGATGTCACCATTTAATAACATTTGTTAAAAATGTAATAAATGTTGCATAACGAATATTTGCTGTATTGTTCATCGTATACATCACAAGGATTTAGAGTCATATATCATACCTTTGGGGTTTTGTTTATTTTGTGAAATATTTCAAACATTCACAAAGAATACAGAATAATACAATAACCTGTGTACACATCATCCCACTTTATGAAATTTTACCAATTTGCCCTATTTGCTTTATTTTTTGTCAATTACAGTTGGCATTCAGTAAGTATTATTTTCTGTTAGTTTCATGTGTACAGCATAGTGATTAGACATTTATAAAGTTTAGGAATTGTTCCCCATGATCAGTCTATATAATTGTATTAAATAATGTCACCCAGTAAATCCAATAATTTTTTAAGAAAAACAAACAAAAAAAAGGAGTGGAAAATTTATGCCACAAAAATACTGAGAAAAAAAGCCCACAAAAATTCTGGTATGTCTATGTTAATTTAGGTTAAGTGAATGTTAAGGTAGGAATTAAGAGATACAAAAGTCGTTTTATACAGATGAAAGGGCCCATTTAACAGGAAAATATTAAAATGCTAAATTTAAGTGCACCTAGTAAAATAGCTTTAAAATCTAGATGACTTATGAAAATTGCTATTAGTAAGTCATCCTTAATAAAAAGTATCTTAACAGTTTATAGATCCTTAACATGGATGCACTTTATAATGATCTCTAGATAGATAGGTAGATCTATATAAAGTGCAGAGTGTGAGAAAATGACTGTCAATCAAGAATTGTATGCTATGCCACTACCAAGAATGTGAAATAACATTTACAGATAGGGTTTTTAACACTAATAGAACCTTATCAAAGAACTTTTAAAAAAAACAACAAACTGTATCCTGTAAGGAATATTTGAGATACATGAAAGAATGAAAAGTTAGGAGAAAACTTTTTAAAAAAAATTTAAAAGCTGTAGTGGACATGAAGAATGTTCTCATGGGCTCAGATTTAAGCCCCGCTTGTCAGCAAGTCTTGGGTAAGTTTAGAGCCATGCCGGATGGGTAGAAGCAGACTTGTAATGGCAAACAATTCTTGCAGACTCCCCCCAGCATCTTTGAACATAAGAGAAAGAACATCGGTGATCCTGGGTTGAACTTTAGTGCTGAGTACAGCTCAGTACGGCCTCCGATAGTGATGTTTCATTATTATGCAGGAGGCTGCCTAGAATGGCCTTGCTCTTCTGCATTGATTTTTAGTTTTGCTTGACACTGTGAATGACTTGGCATATTTTATTAATGACTTCAAATACTCCATGACCATGTCATCAAATATGTAAATCAACAGCCAGTGGGCAGCCATTTGGGAACATAAAAAGTATCATATGTCTTATTCACTGATGTTTCACTCCAGTGAGTCCCTTTCTTCCAGGTACAGCTAATCATCTTAAGTGCTATTAGTCGGACACCTGACCACTTCAGACTGTCGCTGCACACATTTCAATCATATGGTCAAAATTTTAGTATGGCTTTCCCTGCTGTCTGTGGGTAAACTAGATGGACAGAGTGACACTGAATCCTTAGGGTTTTCTATAGGTCTCCTTTCATCTAATTTGCATGTCCCTGGTCATTTTTAATCCTATGGGTATCCAAGTTGTGAGAATAAATTACCTTGAAAATATCTTGCTGCTAGCTTTGAATAAAGATATGATAATACCCGTTTTGAAAATGTCCACCCATTTTACCACGGAGAATGAGATAGGCTTTTATATTAATTTTGCCCACAGTCAGAAAAACAGAGTCATGCTGTACACCTTTTAGTTAACCCCTTAGGACAGTGAGCCTCGTACTTCCTCATCTCCATTTACCTGCCACACGAATACGGTAAGATTATACCTCTGACCTTATAATTGGGTGGGGGCACGTCCTGGCCAAAATGTATGCATGGTCTGGCCATATTGATTATTAGAGACTTTAAAAAATGTAAAATGCTTTGGACTTAGTCTCATGTTCAAACGTTTCTTCTTGTTAGAACTAAAAGACTCAAAATTACATGGTGATTTGGCTTGGAAAACAGCGCCTCTGTGTCTGAAGCAGACATCAAACACATGAACAAAAATCATCTTCGTAGCATCCACCTTCTCCATGTTCATTATTAGGAGTTCCGTGGTTGTAAATTGATAGGAATTAGGCCTACGGAGGGATGGGCACTAGGGTGGATTGGGGGGTGTGGTCAGCAGTAAGGATTTAGGGAGCAGCCTGGGGGGCACTGCCTTCAGATGATTCAGCCTCAGCTGCCTTCCCTCCTGTTGCCTCAGCTCCAGATGCCTATCTGATGTCTTCGGCTGGGTCGCATGGCAACCTCTGTGATCAGGGTACAGGGTTCAGCGGAACAGAGATGGGCAGTTCTCCAAAAGATAAGGAAACGGCCTCTTTGCCAGGAGACAGGGGGAAGAAACAAAAAAGGCCTATTGCTGAGAAGCCTAAACTAACTTAGAGCTGTCATTTGAAGTATCTACCCCAGTGATGGCGAACCTATGACACCTCTGACACGCGAACTCATTTTTTGGTTGATTTTTCTTTGTTAAATGGCATTTAAATATATAAAATAAATATCAAAAATATAAGTCTTTGTTTTACTATGGTTGCAAATATCAAAAAGTTTCTATATGTGACATGGCACCAGAGTTAAGTTAGGGTTTTTCAAAATGCTGACACGCCGAGCTCAAAAGATTCGCCATCACTGATTACCCTATACAACTTGGCATCCGTTGAAAACTCTGGGTTAAATGCCTTGCATACTCGGTAATTATTTGGGGGGGGGGGGGTTCTCTCTCATCATTGATGTTTCTATCACTCTCTCCCTCTCCCTTCCTCTCTGAAATCAATAAAAATAAATTTAAAAAAATAAAATACATTGTTGAGAGTTAGCAGCTATGTTGTATTATGTCAGTCGTAGCTTTTAGTGAGTGACATTATGTCCTATGGGATATTTCATCTTTGCAAACAATTGGAAAAATTTGTATCCTAATACAATGAGATAGTTCAACTCTGAAACTTTTTTTTTTTGGGAGGGGGGTTGTCTGATTTTTTTTAATTTAAATTTTATTCTAATAAAAAATTGACACAACCAACGTTCTGGGTTTAGATTAAGCATCTTAGTGCATGGGATAATTAGAACTAGAACAGCATCATCCCAATCTATCAATGCCATTGATTTACTTGGTTATTTTGTCTTACAGTATGAAGTCTCCACAGAGATTCTGTTTGTGGAGGAAAGCCAGCATTCTCCTATTTTTTTAAAATC